ATGCCTTAGCAAGTATTCTTAGGGATGAACCTACCTGATAGCCTAGGGAGTGGTTCCTCAATCCAGGTATACTCACCTTATAATCCCACACACCAGGATTAACGTTGCTGCTCATGGGCCTTCATTAGCCTTGCCAAAATTCCATTTTTGGCTTTGTCCAATTTGGGTAGACAATCTTCTCTCATTTCCGCAACCTTGGACATTTGGATAGCACCTTCTATCCATCATTTGCTAGGGATTTAGTCCTTTGGGCCTTATCTATTGCCCTCGCGACACTAAACACCACCTCCTGGTGTTCCAAAGTGTTTGGGTGTCTCAATGATGGTCTCCTTGATAATGAGCATTTTCTTTTATGACATTGACTCCCTATATCGCAACATAAGCAATTTATCCCCTGTAAGGGTATATCTAACTTCCTTATGCCATTAAGAAGTCTTGGGTAGCTACCTTCTACCCGTTTAACCAATTATCTTTGCACCTTTTGCTTAGTTGCCCCATAGTTGTCAAGTCCTACAACTCATTGCTTGGTGCTCCCACACCTCCATCATTATTTGGGTCACCACACTCCAATTGCATACCTTCCAGCTTAGGCCATGCCATTCTCGCTTCCGTTGGGATTCCCTTGGCAAGGGGTTCTTATGAACCCACCATCATAACCTCAAGGTATCACACCTTGGCACATTTGGTGTCTTCACACCATCGGCCCCACGAGCCTACCCTTATGACACTACTTATTAGTGTCTGAGTCTTTGCCAAGACTAATATAGTTGTTCCTTATGCTAACTATCTGTTAGCACCGCACCATAGTGTTTGCACCTAACTTTGGGCCAAAGTTGCTTTCTTCTGGGAACATCTTTCCCACAACTTTAGTATAGCACATTCTGCCATCAATGAGATACCTACTGTTCTCATACTTAGATCTTATGATCCTCCCCATACCTCATGGGGCACCATACACCTCAGTCCAAATGCTTAAACCAATCCCTTAGGACCATTCCCTGACTCCACTTGAGTCATCTAGCATTTTGGACTTTGTTAATCCAACAACCTGCGAGGTCTTAGTCTTAGAGGTGCCAACTCACTGGAATACAACTTCTTGTATTCATGTCCTACTCACAAGGATAATCTTCGCAAGTGTTACTCCGACACTTGATGATTTTCTTGGGGCTACCTTTTGCCCCTTAGGACCACTTGTCCATGTGATGAGAACACCGACTCATCCTCTGAGTACACCCCTAACTCCTTGGGTTGTTCCAGCATTTATTAGAGGTAGCCTCGGCTACCATTTCAAGGACTTGAGTCCTCTTCCATACTTGACCTTCCATGGTCACTAATTCTAGTCTCAAATTCATGAGCACCAACCTCGATTATATGAAGGTAATCTTGTGACTCCTTTATTGTTTTGGAGTCTCTATCTTCCCCGTGATCCCAACTATAGTTGTTTACCACAACTATATTAGCCAGTTTGCAAAGTCAAACGCTCATTTGGATCACATCCTCAACTCTATGAGGAAACCCTTATATTGTTCCCAAGATCCCAAAGTCGTTCCCTTACTGGCCCTTTCCATCCACCACATCGTGCACAAGTTCATGCATGAACTTGAGTGGAGAGCCATATCCTTTCGACATGCTACTCCTCGAGGATAGGTCCATATCTAGGACCTTCTGATTCCAATACAAGCGGTGATATACTTGGCCACTAATAAGAGTCGGACTAAGGAACAGCTCCAATACCAAGTTGTAAGCGACTAAATTTTCCATTCTACTTTAGTCACTTAACCACACCTCCGACCATTTGGAGGAATCTCACTCACAACCTCCATAAGTCCTATTTCGGACTTGGGCTTGCTAGCCCCGAGAATGGCATCCCCGCCACTCAACCCTTGCACTTGGTCGAAGTGCTCCACGTGTCCGTTCCCATGACCGACACCTTAAGGTACCACCGACATATCAGCCCGTTACACTAAGGCCCTTTACCTTGGTCACACCGGTGGTCTAACACCACCTGCATCACAGTCCCGTCTCTCAAGGACTGGGCCATCCGTTCATGAGTGATCATTCCAGATCCACTCCTTAGCATCCTTAGGATGCCCGTAGACATGGGGAATAACCTTCCCCAATATCCCTTTTCTGATCCTCACCAAGTCCTTTTCCGTCCATGGCCGTGTTTGCCAACACTGCCACTAGATCAAAGCCCACAAGCCAGACCACTAAGTCCCACGGTCCTTTGGGACTTCCTCACCATGTGACTATGTCCTTAGTCACTATGCTAGAGGTCTGCTCCTCTTCCTTCCCACAGTCTGGGACTTTGGGGCAACATTTCAGAACACCGTGGCCTTACGCGAGCCACCTGGGTACTCTCCCTGCCTTTCGCCCTTGGGTGCTCTAGCCATGGACTTAGAGCGAGGTTCCATTGAGCCATGCCTGGTATCCAAGTAGGTAGTGCCCCCCACACTTGGACTGGGAGCATCGGCCAGTCGATCTCCCGGGGGAACTAGAGCCGGCTCTTGAACACTTCACCAAGCTACCCTGCTTGTCGGTCCGTATTCACTCTAGTCTTGGACTTCCCAGTGGTCAATTCATCACTCAACACTGGGTATGGCCTTCCTGGGCCAAACTAGCCTTTCCTGGCCAAACTGACTCCACTGGGCTCCAACCCTCACACTCTCCCTACTATACTTTTGGAACCCCCCACAGCCCCCCCCCCCCGGTGGACAATTGCTTTGGGCTTTCACTCAACTGCCTGTATTAGTATTCGGACTCGAACTCGGACTCGAACTCGGTCTCGGTCCCGGTTTCGGACTCAGTCTCAGTCTCGGTCTCAGTGTCAGTCTCGGTCTCGGTCTCGGTTCCATCTCAGACTCCATCTCGAACTCCATCTCGGGTCCATCTTGGACTCCATCTCGGGTCCATCTCGGATTCCATCTCAGGTCCATCTCGGGTCCATCTTGGACTCCATCTCGGACTCCACTTCGGGTCCATCTCGAACTCCACTTTGGGTCCATCTCGGACTCCAACTCGGGTCCATCTTGGACTCCATCTCGGACTCCACTTCGGGTCCATCTCGGACTCCATCTCGGGTCCATCTCGGACTCCATCTCAAACTCCATCTCGGGTCCATCTTGGACTCCACTTTGGGTCCATCTCGGACTCCAACTCGGGTCCATCTCGGACTCCAACTTAGGTCCATCTCGGATCCATCTCGGACACTTCCATGTGTCATGTGTTGGTCCTTTTTGGGTCCCTTTTTGGAGCCTTGCTTATTGGTTGCCTCGTGCTCGCTCCTCGAGCACTTTGTTGGGAGTTCCACTCCCGCTCTCGACCTTCCAAGTCGGAGCTTTTAGTCCAAATGTGTTACGCTCATTTGGCTTTCACTTCGGCCACTATCATGTGGCACCCTTTCTGGCTCCATTTTGGGGCCTAGGGATTTTGTGTCTCACATGTGAGTACCGTGAACTTTTTCTGGAGTTGTTTCCTTGGCGGTATTCTAGACTGGAGTATGCATCGACGAGGACGTCGATCTTCCTTAAGGGGGGAGAGTGTCGCGAATGTGACTTTAGGCATCAAAAGTTACTTGTTGGCCAGTCCTTACAGACACTCTTTCCTTACTGCCACGATGGCAGGAGGTCGGTATTGCTGGTTCCCTTTATTAGCCCCTCTTGTTCAAGTGTTAGTAAACTGGGCTTAGCACCTGTACTTAGCCAGATGGACATAAGGTAGGAGTTTCTAGCTGAGCATACTCGGCCTGGCTCTTAGTTCTCTTTTGCTCTATCTTGCACTGGCTTGACAAGAACCCTTGCGTATTGAGATTAGTCCCTCAATATCGCTAGATGATAGCTTACCATGTCTACCAAACACCCTCGCTATCATGCCTTTTGTGTTAGTCTCATTTCGGTCCCAAATGTTATTTATGGAAAGTGTCTAGATTTGATCATTTGGCATATTTATGGAATGTAGAGATTGGCCTGAACACAATGGTGTTCGTCCCGTAACCAAATTTGCAATCTAGCGCCATTACATATTTAGTAAGTTTTGAGCTTGTCCTAGAGACTAACTCCTGATACTAAAGGAGGCTTGGGGTGAAACCCCAAAGCGTGTGTTCCTCAGGGGGGGGGGGGGGGGCTGTGGGGGTTTCCAAATGTATAGTAAGGATAGTGGGTAGGTTGGGCATGGCCGACCAACCTGAGGCATAGTCTAGCTCTCGCTTGCGTGCCTGTCCTTGTTCTGCGTCTGGCTTGGGTCTAAGCCCAAGTTCCATTCCATGCTAGCTGGTGGAGTACCTATGTCCTTGCATTAGGCCACCGATATACCAAAATAGCACTAGACTCTGTTTGGCTCCGTTTTGCGTGCTGGTCCTAGTATTGGGATGCTGGTTGCTTCAGGACTGTTCCAAGTCGCTCCAGGCTCCTGTCCCTTCGCTCCTTGGGCTATATGCTTGGGAGTTGCTCCATGGTCTGGTTCCGTCACTCCTTGGCTCCATGCTTGGGAGTTTGGCACCGTTCCTCGGGTTCCACACCACTATCCTTTGGACACGTGGCATATGACACATGGCATGTGTCACGTGGCATAAAGAGGGTTTAGGTTCCACTTCATATGGCAATAGGATAAAGGGTCAAAACCACGTGCGCTACATTGCCATTGAGCCACCACCTCCAGTATCTCCTCTAAGGGAGATAGCGAGGAATGTGGATGTGGAACAAACTTCCCAAAATCTTGATGATATAGATTCAAGCAAAGAAAATTCTCCCCTCAAAAAGAAACCCCACTTAGATTTGAAAATCCAAGTTGCAAGACTTCTAGGGTTCGTTCAATAGAAATTCAATGGCCGAGTATACCAAGGAAAAGTTAGACATAGCAAGTATGGTGATAAAGTGCCACACCCAGATCAAGAACAGAATCATGACTCATCTACATTTATAAAGACAACCCTAATGCCGATACAAATCTCTCCGAGAATTGGGGAAGTGATGAGTATACAAACAGACAACACTAGGCGAACAATGGATAGTGAAGTTGTGAAAGAAATTCCACAACTTAAGCCACAAAGTCCAACACATGATGCACCTATAGATGTTGAAAAACCATTAGCTTTAGACACAGCCAATAAGGTGAGTTTAGGCTAAGATCCTGTTGAATTTCTTGGTTGTGATTTTGAAGAGGATGAGGCTACAAAAGAGGGTTTAGATGAACTGGAGGAGTATAGTCTTCTTTGGTTCACCTACGCATCTGACAGTGACACACCCTCGGCTAATCAGTCTAACAAGATGAGGCAGCCATAGCAATAGTAAAAGCCACAGCAGCACTACAAAGTTAAGACTAGTTGTGCCTTTGCTCACAAGATTGCAAATCAACTGAGCAAGCCAATAATCTGAAACTTTATGGAAGAGCTCACTCAACACATCAAGGGAGGAGGCAAGTAGTCAGTTGACGAGCCAATACAGCTAGTAGAAGATGAAGAAATTATGAAGGTGACACACCCTCGGCTAATCAGTCTAACAAGATGAGGCAGCCACAGCAATAGTAGAAGCCACAACAACACTACAAAGTTAAGACTAGTCGTGCCTTTGCTCACAAGATTGCAAATCAACTGAGCAAGCCAATAGTCTGAAACTTTATGGAAGAGCTCGCTCAACACATCAAGGGAGGAGGCAAGCAGTTAGTTGACGAGCCAATACAGCTAGTAGAAGATGAAGAAATTATGAAGGTGACACACCCTCGGCTAATCAGTCTAACAAGATGAGGCAGCCATAGCAATAGTAGAAGCCACAGCAGCACTACAAAGTTAAGACTAGTCATGCCTTTGCTCACGAGATTGCAAATCAACTGAGCAAGCCAATAGTCTGAAGCATTATGGAAGAGCTCACTCAACACATCAAGGGAGGAGGCAAGCAGTCAGTTGACGAGCCAATACAGCTGGTAGAAGACGAAGAAATTATGAAGGTGACACACCCTCGGCTAATCAGTCTAACAAGATGAGGTAGCCATAGCAATAGTAGAAGCCACAGCAGCACTACAAAGTTAAGACTAGTTGTGCCTTTGCTCACAAGATTGCAAATCAACTGAGCAAGCCAATAGTCTGAAGCTTTATGGAAGAGCTCGCTCAACACATCAAGGGAGGAGGCAAGCAGCCAGTTGATAAGCCAATACAGCTGGTAGAAGACGAAGAAATTATGAATACCATGCATAGGTTTTGAGTTACCTCAAAACAATCACCAAGAAAGTGGATGGAGTTATGGATGAGTAAAATCATCAGTGCCACATAACCTAAGAACTCAAGAGCGCAATTTCGGCTTCCACATCCACCAATGCGAAGTGCATCAACTGCCAAAACTAACGCATCACAATGCTCAATCAAGAAAATCAAATCATGCATTAGGAACTTGACGATTTACGCTAAAGCATCGAGCTTGTCACTATGAAGACCAAACTCAATAGCTTGGAGCATGATTTGGAGAATTTAACTACCTGAGACGAGCAATAGCTTTGTCATGGGGGAGTGATGAAGAGGTAAATGTTTTAACTTTTGTATTTTCCCAGGGAGAGCAAAAAAAGAAACTTTAGGTGAAATAGAGTTATGCTTAACCTTAGGTATCTAAAGAAGAAAAACTTGACTTAGGCAATATTTATCATAAACAAGTGAGAAGCAATTAGGAATAATTATAAAATCATGTAGTGTATAAATAGCACTTAGACGTACTGGAAAACAACCCCCACTCACTATTATATGCATTTACATTAAATTAACCATCTTTTCTCCCACTTATGACTATTTATGCAAAATAGAGTTGAGAGAATGATATATATTTAAGAATTTGAGATTAAGTTCTTTTTTATTCTCTTCTCATTCTTCTTCTCTTTTTATCTTCTCTATGTTCTTGTCTCTATTTGTTTGTCACTATTTTGCAGACAAGGGCAAAAATGCGAGTATAGGTAGAAAAAGTTAGCATAGAAAACATATAACTTGATATAAATACTTATTAAAGCTTGAATAAAATAGAGAGGCCAAGAAATTACAATAACTTATTGATTCTATACACTCTCCTCCTTTACGCTCCTCCACCTTGCTCTTCTAGCATTCTTTATCTTTGCTTGTCTTACTTCTCCCTTCTCTTCCCCCTATGTCTTGTCACTTGGGAAGGCTCTCTAGTTAACTAACATCTTTTCTTTTCAGCTAGATCATTTTTTTCTCTTCTCTTGATTCTCTAACAATAGAAGAGAATTATCTTAATAATAGTAATTACAACAAATTTTCCATGTAAGAAAAGCCTTTAGTGGCCTCTAAGCAAAGAAGTAGCCTGCCAATGTCTGGATACACAGGCTCAAGTTCTATAAAAAAGCTCAAGTCCTAGACCAAGCATAGTCCCTAGCAGATGTCTGAAGCAAGTAACTGTTGCAACATAAATAAGAACCTCTTGTCTCTCATCATCTAAGCTTTTGGTAATCTCCACGTGAAGAAATGGCCTGCAAGAGCTTGGATGAATAGGCTGGTGTAGCATTAGTGTGTAAAAGAGCAAGTCTTCTACCATCTTAGCAAATGTTGGCAACATATTTAAAGGCTAAAGTTGGCTAGAAAGTGGCAAACCTAAGAGAAAAAGAGGCTTGACATGTGTTCCGTACAGTCCTGAGGCCTAGGTCATGATCCCATATAAATGTGGAGCGTCATTGGAGATGCTGGGTTTTCTAGGAAATGTTTGAGTGAGGCAATTGTTGTGGACCTGACCCACTCAAGTGCCAGAGCAACATAACACTTCATCTTCATACATCCACTGCTTCTTGATGTCCTGAGCATGCTCTACTACTATGTTCTCATAGGTAGTACACGCCCACACTGGCAACAGCTAAGAGAGAAGGTTTTTCAGCCAGCAAGCACACTTTTAATGCCTAATTGATGCACAAAAGCCACAAAATGACTCCTTAAGACCACAAAAAAAGAGGTGGAGGCATAGGATTGTAAAGCCTTCTACTCAATCCAGTGGGCAACATTTGCCCCACGACCTCCCTATTGGGCAAATGTGATGTAAGTGGCTGAACTATGCGTAATGTCCTGGACAGCCCCTTGCATTGCTTGGCAGACCAGCTCTCGCCATTTCACACACAACCAAGGGGCGTTGAGCTATGCATTGCCAACATCCCTATACCACATCCCAAATGATCTAAGACATTGGCTGCAACCATACATCATAGTAAGTAGGAGAGGCATCGCTAGATTGCCATGAGGAGGGGGTAAGAGCCCTCCCCCCCCCCCCCCCTTCCCGCCCCTCAAACTGCTAATGGCCAAGTTTTGGGGGTTACACTAAAAAAGCCCCCCCCCCCCCCCCCTCCGAAGGAGGCTGCTGCTGCTGCTTTGTTTCCCAAGCTTATGGATCAGAGCCCGGTCAATTGCTTGAATGCCGTCCGCCTTGGAAAAGGACATCTTTGACGAGGTGTTTGAACTGGCCAGCACACTTGAGATTTTTATTGGTTCTAAACCTGAAATTAGGAGTTTATTTTTGTCTACAACCAAATGACCAAAGAGTTTTGTCTGAAATTCTTCCCCTGAAATATTTTTTTTGCAGCAGCGCCTACACCAAGCAAGAGCTCCTCGCGCATCACATGGGCTACATGGGAGTAAACATGGAAGTTCTCATGGATTGCCGCAACACCCTCTTTGCGAAAGACCTTACATCACTGGAGGAGCTCTGGCGGTGGTGTTTTGGACGCTGTGTTTGGTGTACGCCACCCAGGAACATGCGGTGGACGAGACTTTGGTGCTTCTTTGAGGAGTTTACATCGTCCGATATCAATCTCCATTTCAGAGTACATTGGGTTGGTTCAAAGCTTTGTTTTTCTGCGAGTGCTGTCGCTGTTGCTCGCGAGCCCTAGAATTTATCAAACTGTCAACAGCCCTGAATGCCCTCCGGCTTGGGCTCGGCATCTTTGACGATGGCCAAAGAGTTCTTTAACTATAGGAACCCAACACACTTGTTTTTTTGTTCTAAACCGGTGTTATCATAAAAATTAAGAGAGTTTGTCTGACTTTGCTTTTCAGAAGTAAAGAGTTTTGTCTCAAATTCTTCCTTTGAATCGTCTTAACCTGGGATCATGCGCAATCCATGACGCCAAAACCCTGATGATTTATAGAGGGTCAAGCAGAATTAGACATTGGAAGTAGAAAGGTTAGTTCTCTATCATGGGAGCCTCCTCTATCCTTAGCATTTTTGAGGGTACCAAAAGCTTTTACATACCACCGGTCAGCTCTTATCATGTTGATTTGAATCCTGCTTATGATGCAAAGGTGGATGCTGAAATTGACAAATGGTGTATGGATTTTTTGAACTTGCACGATCTCACTGATCACAAGACTCAGTTTGCCATTCAGAGCAAGCTGGGAAAACTTGCAGGCTTGGCATACCAGGCCATTTCTTCAGAGAGACTCCGTCCCATGGCAAAATTCTTGTGCTGGTTGTTTCTTGCAGATGATTTTATGGAAGATTCTTCTGTCCCTGTCTCTGACCTGAAGAATGCCACACTTGCATACAAGCTCATCTTCAAAAACAACTATGATCAAGCCATAACTCTGGTGGAAAGTAAAGACCTTCTGCGGCAAATGGGGATGCTTAACGATGTCTACACTGATCTAAAGGGTTTCATGAAGCCTGGACATAAGACCCGGTTTTCGAATTCCATGATTGATGTGCTCGACATGTTTGAGGTGGAATCAACTTGGCTTCACAAGAAACTGGTTCCCAACTTTGAGATTTATATGTGGATGAGGGATGTAACGGCTGGGGTTATCCCTTGCATGGTGGCAATAGACTTCCTTAATAATTTTGGGCTGGAAGATGAAGTGCTAGAGCATCCCAACATTCAAAGGCTGGAAGTGATTGCAAATCGCCACACGTACCTAGCCAATGACATGCTCTCCTTCAAAAAGGAATGGGCTTGCGACATGTACCTCAATTCTGTGGCACTGGTTGGTTACAGTAGCAACTGTGGCTTAAATGAGGCAATGGAAAAAGTTGCAGAAATGGTTCAGGATTTGGAGAAAGAGTTTGCTGACACCAAACAAAAGGTTCTCTCAAACAAAGACTTGAACAAGGGAAATGTCATGGGGTATGTGCAAGGCTTGGAGTATTTCATGGCTGGAAATCTAGAGTTTGCCTGGCTCTCTGCGAGATATCATGGGGTGGGATGGGTTTCACCAGCCGAGAAATATGGTACCTTTGAGTTCTAGTTCGCTTCTACTTGCATTAGAAGCTGGTGCTTAAAATAAAACTAATGGACAATAATACTTTGAATTTCTCATACAACTGTTGAGTAATATATTTCTCCACTTTTTTCTTTCAGTACTAGACATTTACTTTTTGATACAGCAAAAGCTTAGCACCACGAAGTCTAGGAAAAAAAAGAGAGAGAACTGCGTTAGGAATTTCCAGAGCTTACTTGGAGACTGGCAAGCATCTTCAGTGCCGCGTCTATCTTTGCAGATTTCCTCGGCTTCTCCTGCGAAGTTTCCACAAGTGATTCTTCTCCAAAAGTCACCCTTACTTCAGTCGTGGTCGCCTCTGTCCGGAAGAAACTGACTTTCATGCCTTGTCTCGCGCAAAGCTCCATAAGAATCCGCACAGGATGGAAACGCAGCGTCCCTGGAGTGACCAAAGGCGATAACAAAGGCAGCACCACTCTCCACAACTTCTCCAAATCGAAGTTAGTGTCCACAAAGATGGCACCGGTTATGCTTTCAAGTAAGTCTCCAAGCACCTGAGAAAAGAGAGGCCAGAATGTAGAGAAGACCACCGGAATATGTGTACGTACCTTTGGGGCCGACAAGTCTTCGAAGCATGACGCGTCTGGTTTTTCCTTCACGTTTTGCACGAACTTTCGGATCTCGCAGTCAAGTTCCACCGAGCCATGCTGAAGATGCTGATGTAAGCCGTGCCTCACAACCAGCCGAGCAAACCATTTGTTGTTCACGGCTGCAGACCGCAAGTCTGTGAGTGTTCCTGGAGGTAATCCTGGATGAGTCTCGAAGAGGTGGCGGGATACAAGGAAGTCCAGGACGCCATCGCCAAGGAACTCTAGCCGCTGTATTTGTTTTCGATTAGAAAAAAAGCCCAGCTGATAAACCAAGGAACTTACCTGATAGCAGAGCAAGCAGTTCGGTTGAGATGCGTGAGTTATAGCTTCCACCAAGAGGCTCCTGTTTTGAAATTTATACTGCAGCTTATGCTCTAAAGACTCCAACGAGGCCTGGAGATGTTGAAACGATTCAGCCGGCAGGGAAGCTTGGCGAGCCGAGGCAAGCAAGCCTATGTCGAATTCTATGTCAATGCCGAGCTGTTTCATAAGCTCCATGGCGCTCGGAGGTCCAGACGTGGCCAAGTATGCACCGATAAGGGCCTCTACAACGTCGGCGAGAGCTTTCCTTCGAATCCCCCGATGGCCGTTGGCACACGATGAAAAATAATTTTCCTCGTTTTCATAGCTCCCCTGCTGGTGCCTACATTTTGATGAATCAGAGGTAAGCATGCCCGGGCCAGTCCAGTTGGAAGGATTGAATTCTTCGTCGCGTATGTATTCCTGCAAGGCAACGTTGAACATTTACACTACAGGAAGAAAGATCGCGCATACCGCAATGCCAGATGATTTTGCCAACTGATGTAGCGCTGCATTACAAGTAGCGCGAGACCTTCTCGCACTGAGCTGGCCTTCGTGTTTCTTATCGTAGACCAGGAACAGCTTTTGAGTCACGACGTATTTGAGAAACGAGTCCCCTAGAAGCTCCAAACTCTCATATGAGAACTCTTCGTGACATTTTTTGCTGGTAATTGCTTCGAGGATCTGGAAAACCATCTCACCACTAAGATTCATTTTCAAGGATAAAGATGAATACCTTCGCTGCAGGAATCCATGGCCACAGTGGTGAGCGCAACTGTATGGCACAGACGGTCGAAGTAAACTGGTGAAGAAACGAAGGGACGAAGTATAACGATCGAATTAGTCCGGACTTAATCTCTAGGCACAGGCACAACTCAGGTGGTAGCTCTACAAAACTTTCTTCTTGTCTAGAACCTGCAACATAAACTCCGACACTATAAATTGTAATTTCTAAGCAAATATCGAGTTTTCACCATGATCTTCCTTGGGTCTTATGAGGAGATTATGAAAAGCATGCGTTGGCTTGGCTTTCAGCAATGGCTGATCTGGAAGCCGTAACGTCCTTTGATACCTGCAAAAACGTGAGCTTGGTGAGAGAAGGTAGGCACAGGCTGCGATAGACGCTCACTTGTCTTTGTAATAATCTATGTACGTGAAGCCCCTCTTCGGTAGTAGTGATGCCGCAGTAAAATTCTCTAGAACCCCTGTGACACAGAAAAGCCTGCCATTGTGCACGGTAGCTACGACCATGTCCTGGAGCGCAGAAGAATGTACGTAGCCATTAGCAGTGCAGAGCATGTCCGCGTGCGTCTTCTCCCCCACACCATCCCCATCTATTGGAGAAGATGGTGAGAAATTACTACAAAGTGTCCTGTATACCCCCGCAGTCGCATGAACACTCGTCCAATCAATACTGTCGTTGTCATCATGCACAGGTAGCAGAAGAAACGCTTGAGATTTGTTCCAGAGGATTTCTTGAGGACTTCCCGAGCAGCGTGCCAAACGGTTGAAAGCTCCGTTGAGCAGTAGCTCTTGATATGCCTTGGCTGCCTTTACCTGTATCAGAAGAAAGACGTGCCGTGATAAACATTAAGTGTACAATTTAAGGGTTTATTTATCCAGTTTTACAACTATCTGTCTGTGTATTCTCTTGATTCACTTGAAACAAATGTCCTTCTTAGATGATACATGACTACCTGTAGCCCAAAAATTCTCCACCAGGCCCTTTGTCAATTGCGGTACTCAATCACTCCTTTGCTTATGACCATCTAGTGCCTATCTACAAGTTATGATCCTTATCATCTTCCTCCTTGCTCATGCAGCTGGTAGGTTTCTTCTATGAATCCCAAGAACATTTGCAAGAGTAGTGTTTGGAATGTTGTCACCACCAATGATCATGGAAAGAATTGCTCTCTTTGCAACTAGATGATCACATGAACGTGCTTTCTTCATTAGTTGAGGTGATTGATGAATGTTGACGCACATTTTCTTCTTAGAGTTGCTTGTCAAAAAATTTTCTAGTAGACTAATTATTGGGCAAATCACTTGGTTGTGGCACACTAGAAAGCTATTAATGATCAATGCTTTTGTATATGAATCATCCTTGCAAGTGATGTCAAACAAGTCCCCTATACCTTTGGCCTTTCTTCTTACTTTTATCATACTCATATACTCGTGATGAAGTATTCCCGGCTTGATATAGGTGATCTTTGGTTTTATCATGATCACTTGAAATAGTGGCCATCCTGAAGACAAATTAAGAACTTTGGTTAGATATGAAAGTAACTAGAAAAAATACTATAAATATCTTACTAGATATGTGTTGTTGCTTGTTGGTGCTTCTAGTTGCTGTTGCACCTCTTGCTTATTGCTGCTACTAAGCTCACTGGCCTGGAAGGAGTTAGGCTGTCGGGCATGATCCAGCTACTACTTGATAGGCACGATCTTATTGCTGCTAACTAATTGCTACTAGTGTTAATGCTTGGCCAGTTGCTCCCTTGGTTGTTGCTACTACTGCAAATTGCTGCCACCGCTGCTTGCTATCCACTGCTACTGCTTCTTGCTGCCCTTGCCATTGGTGCTACTAGTGTTGCTACTTGTTGTTGCTGCTGCTTTTTCTTGCTACTGCTGCCATTGTTGGTGTTGCTGCTTGCTGGCCACCGCTGTTGCTGTTGGTGCTATTTCTTGCTTGCCATCAATGCCACTATTGCATATTGTTGCCCCTACTGCTGTTGCTGTTGGTCCTGCTCTTTGTCACTAGTGCTGCTGTTGGTGCTACTAGTGCTGTTGCTTACTACCAATACTGCTTTGCTTGTCACAGCCGCTACTATTGGTGTTGCTACTGGTGCTGGTGCTGCTCCTTGCTACCATCGCTATTGCTAGTGTTGATGCTTGCCCCACTGTTGCTGCTACTTGCTTCTTTCTACTGTTGCCTCGATCACACACTAAGATGCTCCATTCTAAACCATATCCGAATCAATCCACAAATGTAAGCAAGGTGATGGTAAGTAGGAGGAGGGGAGAAGAGGAGGATTGGGAAGATTAGCACTGCAAGCTGCCCCATGACAATGCTCCACACCTTCCATGTTCATAAGCGATAATCCAAGGAATTCCCAAGTTAGACTCTTTATGTTATTAACATTTGTAGTTTTTTATTTTTTCTTTCATTTCTCATCATACTTTAATTTATGTATGAGGGTCTTTAGTAGAGCATTAATCTTTGTTAATTGCCCATCTAATTGAGTATTGAATAACAAACCTCATTTTTATATTCATATTTGGAGGTTTCTTTACTAAAATCCTCCTCATGTGAAGATTCTTTATCAATTGATTCTTATTTAATTGAAAGCTCCATCTTTATAAGCAATTTAATATTAGTCTTTTCTCATTTATGCTTTATTTTAGCCATCTTCTAATAATTTACCTTTATCCTTCATTATAACTAATCAAATGGCTTTGATACCAAATTGTAAACTATAATTTCTTTTTTTCAATTTATCACCTGACCACCTTTGCATTAGCTATAGCTAAGTTACATTATTAAGATCCACTTCTATTGTATTAGTTTTTATTTAGTTATGTCTGGTTTTAATAACTCACTACACAAGCAACTGAGTGTTAGTCATCTCTTCATAGATTCCACTCTATCTAAAACATTTGATTCTCTTTTGAAGTATCTTTTGAACATTTCCTTAAAAGGCCTCCCTAGCAAGTCTAGCAAATGTTCGGAACATATTTAAAAGCTGAAGTTGGTGGTAAAGATGCTTTGAAGTCACTCTTAAAAAGAAACTCATGAAAGATCATGGTAGAAAGTTCTCTTAGTTGGCTACAAAGTGGCAAACCTAAGGAAAAAAGAGAGGCCTCAAAAATCATAATCTTTAACATGTGTTCCACAAAAGCATCTTGCAAGAGTTAAGTCTCCTAGAGCTCGCAAGAGGGCAGAGAAGTTCTTAACTTTCCATCAAGCCCATGCCCCCATCCATCACATAAGGTCGTAGGATAACCTTACAGTTTTGAGGCCTAGGTCATGATCGGACATTAGGATGCCCTCCATATAAATGTGGAGCCTCATTGGGTGGTATAAATTTTCTACTCACTATTATAGTGCATGACCCACTCAAGTGCCAGAGCAACATAACACTTCATCTTTGTGTAAGCGACTAATTTTTCCATTCTACTTTAGTCATTTAACTACACCTCCGACCATTCGGAGGAGTCTCATTCACAACCTCTATAAGTCCTTTTCTTGGACTTAGGCTTGCTAGTCCCGAGAATGGCATCCCCACCACTCAACTTTTGCACTTGGTTCGAGTGCTCCACATGTCCGATCCCATTACCGACACCCCAAGGTACCATCGACATATCAGCCTATTACACTAAGGCCATGCCCCTTCACCTTGGTCACACCGGTGGTCTAACACCACCGCATCACAGTCCCATCTCTCAAAGACTGAGCCATCCATCCATGAGTGATCATCCCCAATCCACTCCTTAGCATCCTTAGGATGCCCACAGATATGGGGATTAGCCTTCCCCAATATCCCTTTTTTAGTCCCCACCAAGTCCTTTTTCGTCCATGGCCGTGTTCACCAACACTGCCACTGGATCAAGGCCCACATGCCCGACCACTAAGTCCCTCGGTCCTTTGGGACTACCTCCTCACATGACCGTATCCTTGGTCTCTACACTAGAGGACGACTCTTCCTCCTTTTCACAGTCTGGGACTTTGGGGTAACATTTCGGAACTGTCAGGAATCCCCCAATTCTTGCCACATTCCTGACTCTTGCCAGATTCCTGACCTGCAGACCACATTCCTGACTCTCGAGACACTTCCCTATTCCTGACTCTCGAGACACTTTCCTATTCCTGACTCTCGAGACACTTCCCGATTCCTGAGTCTCGAGCCACATTCCTGATGATGATGTGGCGCCTCCTCGACCTCAGCTGTATTTAGGCCGTCCTCGATCCAAGAGTGGTGGAGCTTCATCAACCTATAGTATATATAGGTTAGCCTTGTTCCATTTCTCCACAATCTGAATCAACGCCAGTCTAAGGCCTTTTCTTTGTTTCCACTAGCTTTTCTCTTTGTCTTTTTGCATTTTCCAATCTTGATCTTGTCAGGGGTCTTGACAGTTTGATTCAGATTGTGTTTTTTCGTTTTTTGATTTAGCTCGTTTTGATTGTTTGATTACCTTTGCCTTTTTTTCCCCCTTTTTCCTTTCTTCTTGCCAATGGAGCCTCCAAGCCATCCTGATTTCTTTGCTGAAGTCCTTGCAAAAATCCAGTCTGAGAATACCGAGCTGAAGGCGACCCTTCTTCGCATGCAGCAGGAGCTTGCTTCACTTTCGGCTCAAGGATCCAGCAAAGTTCCTGAACCGAAGGTGAGCTTCCCGGCGAAATTTTCAGGCAAGCGTTCGGAGCTTCGCGGATTCCTGAACCAGATGGAGTTGATCTTCGCACTTCAACATCGGTGGTACCCTACTCCCGAGTCTCAAATCGGCGCGATTGGGACGTTGCTCGAAGGTGCAGCTTTGTCATGGTTTTCTCCTCTTCTGGAGAAGAGCATGAAAGGGGTCGTGGTTCCAGAGCTGATGGATCTTCAATTGTTCAAAGAGAAGCTCGAAGCATGTTTTGGCGAGACGGATCGGGTTCGGGCTGCTACCACAAAGATGAGACGTCTCTCTCAGGGGTCTCGTCTTGCCTCGATCTACGCTACAAAGTTCCAACTCCTTACTTTGGACACTCAGTGGGATGAGTGGGCCCTGATTGATCAATTTCGTTTCGGCCTCAACAACGGTGTCAAGGATTTGCTGCTCACCATGGAGGATCCCAAGGACCTGTCGGATGCCATCAACAAAGCTGTTCGATGTGACAATCGTCTCTTTGAACGTCGTCAGGAAAGTCGCCGCGCCGCTGTTTTTCCGTCCTAGACTCAGGAATCCCAGCTTGAGTCTTCGGGGCATACTCTTGAACCTACTGCTCCGGTTCCGATGGATATTTCTGGTACTCCCCGACTCATTAGAGGGAAGTTGAGTCCTGCTGAGAAGCAACGTCGAATATCTCATAATCTTTGCCTCTATTGTGCTGATCCTAATCACAAAGTAGCTGTATGTCCCAAGAAGCCTCCTCGACTGCTCGAGTTCACTCTGCCTCAAAGTCCACCTCTATTGCAGTCGGGAAACGACCCTGTCCAAACAGAGTAGGAGCTGTCTGTTTGGACTCCCCGAATAAAAATCACTTTTCTTCTTTGTCAAGCTCCCCTCACCACCTTTCATCAAAGCCACCACCAATTCCCGCAACTTCCGCGTCCCATGTCTCCTTTCTTTCACCGGACAATCAGGACTCAAGGCTCTGGCATTACTGGACTCGGGTGCAACTTCTTGCTTCATGGACACGGACTTTGCTGCCCGACATCACGTTCCTCTTTCTCCTACCATACGGGATTTGAGGGTTGAAGGCATCGGCGGGCATTTTGTGTCTCCATCTTCTGGACTTAGGGAAACGTTGCCCGTTCGAGTACACATTGGGTCCACCGTCACCGATATCGCCTTCAACATCATCAACAGCAAGTCCTCCTCTGTGGTGCTCGGTCTTCCTTGGTTCCAACTACATCAGCCTCAGATCTATTGGAAGGAATTACAGCTCATCTCTCCCACGGCTTCCCCTGCTGTTCATCGAGTCCGAATCAGGAAAAGTTCCCTAAACTCAAATTGGGGTTCTGTTCCTGACTCTATAAAGTTTTCACCCTCTTCTTTTTCCTCTCTTCCATCTTACACTGGACCGTATCCTCGTCTCATCATTCCATTTAGTCGTACGCCTCCTCCTATCTCCACAATCACTATGAAAGAACTCCTTCATGAAGAACCTCTTTTTCTTTTTGCTTTGCATGTTTCTCCTGTCAGTCTTCCTGAGAAGTATCATGATTTTGGGGATGTGTTTAACAAGAAAAAAGCTAGTGTACTGCCTGTTCATCGGCCTTATGATTGTCCCATTGATTTACAGGAAGGAGCGTCACCTCCGTGGGGGCCTATCTATGGGTTATCCCCGTCCGAGCTTAAGGCCCTCAAAGAGTACGTGGATGAGAACCTTGCCTCGGGCTACATTCAGCATTCACAGTCCCCGGCTGGAGCGCCTGTCTTCTTTGTCAAGAAGAAGGATGGGAGCTTGCGGCTAGTCATCGACTACCGAGGTTTGAACAAGGTGACTGTTCGGAACCGTTATCCGCTGCCCTTGATCTCGGACCTGTTGGAACGCCTCGGCGGTGCCCGCTTCTTCACCAAGATCGACCTCCGTGGAGCATACAACCTGATCCAGATCCGGCCTGGTGATGAATGGAAGACTGCGTTCCGAACCCGCTATGGCCACTTTGAGTACACTGTCATGCCATTTGGCTTGACAAATGCTCCAACAGTTTTC